TACTGCACATAACTAATTTCAATCGTGAATCATGCTCAAATTAGTCATTGAATTTGTGACGAACGGAGTCGTCTCACAACTGTCGTTTGTTGTATTGTATCTGTGTGTTATTTATTTACTTAGTCAAGGAAAATACACACTAATCAGAACCTTACAGGCTTTTACAAGTTCAGCAACAAATAAGATATGAGACACCTCTCATCATGTCAGAAACATACGATTAAATAGCGGTAACTGCTTTCTATTAAGCGAATTGTAAACTAATTGGTGTCCTCGTCTTCATCAGTCAAACACTGCTAGACGTAGATCTGTCCAATAGCCTGCCAATAAGCTTCGATCTTTAGTCGTGCCCAACCACTATCAGCTTTATTTGCAAGTAGTATTAAGAGTAAAATGCATTGTGGTCGGTTGCATTTGATTTTGCACCTCTTTCGCTTCTAAACGTGATCTTTCTCACTTAATTGAATTGATATGATATTTATTTGTATAAATAAACCACAAAACAGCATATTTACTCTTATTTACTTTGCATTTTACTGTGAAAACACGACAACGAACATCATATTGTTGTTTGGCAGGCCACAACTGTGCGCTTCTCACGTAGCTTTCTGACTCGCACAGCAAAACTGAAATTATCTGTCGTCGGCGGTATTTCCGAACCGATGCGACCTTTAAACCTTCAAGAAAAGAGCGTATTCCTTTTTAAAAGGCCGGCAACGCACCGGTGGCTTCTCTGGTGTTGTGAGTCTCCATGGGAGGCGCTGATCGCTTACCATCAGGTGATCCGTCTGCTCGTTTGCCTCCCTTTTACATAAAAAATCCTGGGAATTCTTCATAACCTACATATTTAGCTCAAGGACAATAACATCTAGGTCTTACTGATAAAGGCGAACCCTGACGTAACCAGGTCGAGCTGTAATCAATCCATTTACTCATTGAGCGCTGTCCTGACGCACGACGTCTTCAAGATCAATTGAAGTTTGTTTGTTATTGTAAACTAGTGTATTATTATTGTTGCCATATAACGACCTTCAAGAAAAGAGTGACCTTTTAACCGACTTATTAAAAGAAGGAGGTTCTCAGTTTGATCTCTTAGTATGTTTATAGTTTCACGATTGGTTGAACTGATTTTGATGCGGTTTTCATGGTGTTTATTGCACTTGAGTGCAGATTTTAGTGTACTAACCCACTTCAAAAAGCAAGGACGTTGAAGTCGGTTGTTCAAACGTAGTTTAGTTATTAATAGGTCAGATACGGACTTTTGACTCCTTTGGAGTTGGTGTCCATGGGCAGAGCTGACAATACTAGGTCACTTTTACATTGAATACTAGGTATAGACTAGCAAAGACTATGGAATTGAGCCCAATGAACAACTCTGTCTTACCCCTGTAGGGAATAAAACCCAATGACGATATATTATGCTACATTCAAACGAGCAAGTGCACTCGCAAACAACACTCGAATAGCAACTCGCCGAGTATTGGCTTAGCATATTTCATAGACAGTAAACAAAATAGATGAAAGTGTTCTATTATTACTGGCTGTAAATAACGACGTACCTAGATACTCAAGTTGTTTTATTTTTGGATACGTTAGGCTTGCTACAGCCACTAGTTTGTGTGAATGCTCCATTTGGTTAATGTTAATTGGAAAATTGGTTGTTGTCGTGTGTTGGGAATTGGAGAGATGGAGGAAGAGGGGCTTTAATTTATATTGTCTTTTTATGGCGTAATGTGAGTGTGACATGGTATGATATGGCACGCTTTTAAGGACTGGAATTAAAACTATTAGAACTAAGTAATTTCAAGCGGAATCATTAAATAAATCCTATGAAAATCACTACATAGTATAAAACAAAGTCGCTATCCGCCGTCTGTCCCTATGTATGCTTAGATCTTTAAAACAACGCAATGGATTTTGATGCGGTTTTTTAAATAGATAGAGGGTTTATTAAGGAAGGTTTATATATAGGTATGAAGGTATAATACATGCATATTGCACCCTTGCAAAGCCGGGGTAGGTCGCTAGTATATTTTAATTGTTTGTTAATTTTAGACGCTAAATTACTGAGCCGTTTTTGGTAATTGGGGCTCTGGTAAACTTAGTTAAATTATAATATGGTATCAATTTCTCGTGTAAACAGCTTTAAGATTATTTCTAAGCCGGAATATCGACGGTACTATCTCCGGGCACATTATTAAGATTAATGATGAGTAACCTCGGTGTTTTATTTTATAAATATTTAGTTCAAAAGATTAAATGCACTGCGGCAAAGTATAATAAATAACTAAACGGAATAGTTATATTATGACTTATCTTTCATAATGGGCCTGTAAATGATGACGTAGATATTGGTGCTTGATGCTGATTTGAAAAAGTCGTCGTACCTTCAAGAAAACGCACCTGTGACTCCTCTGGTGTTGCGGGTGTCCATGGGCGGTGCTGATCGCTTACCATCAGGTAATCCGTCTGCTCGTTTGCCTACTATTCCATAAAAAAAATACAAATGTGGCTGCTAATCATAACGTCTTCTTCAGGCGAAAAGATTTCATGAAAACGTGAGAGTCAAGGCTGTCCCTTATTAAACTGTCAAACACCAAGCGGTCACCGGTAACCGCAACCTATTGTTCTATAATTGTGTCTACAAAACCGGTACTCGACGAGTTAAATAGGATATTGTTTGTAAAGGTGATAATCATTAAATGACTCCTCCTCGCTCCGGGTGAGACGAGTGGGAGTGTTAGACTCTTACTGGCTCGGAGTCGCGGAGAACCTAACGGGTAACCGGGGCTCCGGCTCGACGTGTAGGAGAAGGAACGGGGTGGTTTTTAGTCAGTAAGAGTCTGACACTCCCTCCCGCCTCACCCAGGCGGGAGCAGTCATTCGATGATTTCCCCCCTTAAAAAAAAAAAGACTTACTGGCTAAAATACAACCCTATCACTCCTGCTTCGAGATACATGTAAAGTGGGTGTATTGTGCATCTTTACACATCCTTTCGGGAAATAGTTAAGAACGATTACCGTTTACTGATCATCTTTCGACGGTAACCTACTCAAATATAAATACTTAGCTTATTTGTAAACAAAACAACCACTACAATATCTTATCTCGCATTCAAAAGCTGTCCTAACCATTGATCGTGGATTGTACCAAAATGTTTTGGACCTCCGCCAACGAATTGTCAATAAAATATGCAGGAGTTAGGGTTCGTTCCACCCTGGAGAGGTCACATCTATAGGGACCAATATTTTGTCCTATATTTACGTTTGTATTTGTCCTGTGGGTACTTGGTATATTGAAACAGTAACTATAAAACTGCCTAAGTACTGCATTTCTTACTTCTATAGTCTCTATGTTAAAACATCTATTCAAATGTTTCGTGTATAAATAGATGAGGTACTGTCTGATACGTTAAATGGTCGCAGGATGGCAAACGATCAGGTGGATCTCCTGATGGCAAGCAATTGGTTCTGCACATGGACACTCCAAACACCAGAGGAGTTATAAACAAGTGCGTTGCCGGCCTTTTAGGGATTTGGGGATTACATACTAAACGAGGCTTCAAATGTTTTTTTTTTTGTGGTACGGAAAACATTATTTTGGAACTCAATAATATTGAATACTGTGTCTAGAATTTAATACCAAACGCAATGTTAACCAAGTAGCTCTTACGATTAATATTCTTTATTACGAAGTTAATTTACATAATTATTATTATTACATTTGTTTATAGTAACATGTCTGTATGTAGGTAGTGTTCCAAATATTGTAATCGATTTTTTAATTCATCCGATCGGGCCTTTAGGCAGCCCACGCTGACGCCTGTTGATACTTTTTGTTTTTGTCATATATAGGTTTATTATGGTGTGTCGTTGATCGAGTGGTTACAAGAGGTTTCCGAGTCAAATATCGAGATGGACAATGTCTTTTTGGCTTTCCAACTTTTATTCGACTTCAACAAAGAGGGGAGGTGCTCTCAATTCGGCCTACCTGTGTTCTATTACCTATCTTCTTTTATTTTCGTTGTATCAAATAGTTCGGTGTCTGGAATTGTACTCTGGGATCACAAAAGGAGTGTTCCTATGCCCTATGGAATTTGTAAGTGGCAAACCGAGACCACATATAATGTGTGCCCCACTGCCATCCCCTTTAGCTGAGAAAAATCGTGGTCAAAGTCAAAATCATTTGTTTCAATTAGACCAGGAAGGCACTTTTAAACGTCAGCAATAGGTGAAGCTATTTGCTCATTCCAAGGCGTAGATTCCTATGTAGAAGAACGAGGCAGAAACTCCATAGGTTACTCTTTTCTAATCAGGTTGGTGTTACTATAACTTATTCGTTCGTAAAATATTATCGTATATCGTCACTTAAGGTCCTTGAAAATAATTTCTAAATCGATTTTGGGTAAGCAACAGTCATTTGTTTAATTGGAGTTATCGATTTTGGGCTCTCTGTCAACATTTTGGTAGGCGATTTGTAACTAGGTGGTTATAATGTTAGGTTACTTAGGTCTTATTTTAAGGTTTAGACTTGTTAGGTGATCTAAATAGTTCAGTTAGGGGATCTCACTGTCTATTGATTTTCTCATTAGTCCCGATGTGTCAGGGACCTATTTTAGCTCCCAATTTTGGTTATTGTAATATCTTCTATGGCTTCTATGCCATATGCTATCGTCGTCCTATGGCTTATATGCTGATGATGAATATCTTCTGCTTTAGCATGTGACTCAACATCAGAATCTCGTAACAGTGGACTATGGGGCTCCTCTACTTGGTATGGGTTTCCCATAATCTCTTCGGTTAGCAGGCCGGTTAGTTTAAAAGGGTCTGGATTATCAGAGAGCCAGCTGCTGGTTCTCTGTCTTCGAGTACCTTAGTTGGCTCTTACGATACCTACCTAAATAAATAATACTGGTGTTGATTAGACCTTTGACTGCCGACAGAGAACTGTTGAAGGCAAGAAGATAACGTGTTAACTTATATGTTTTTCTTCTTTACAGATATTCAGTGCAAAAGTGTTCAGTGCCTAAGCCTATCTGTGATTTAAACAGTGTTATTTAAAGACAGTGTAATAATTAGACTGTGTGGACTCAGTGCCTGGTGCCATGCTGGTCTGTAGAACTATTAGGTGCGGTAATAGGGCAGACTTCGTCAAGTGAAAACTGCTGGACCAGGAGCAACGGTGAGTGTTTAGATTACTCTAATACCTATACATATAATTAAGGTAAAAAAGTATTGTATGACAAGAGCATGGACCCAAGTCTTTAGTCTGTGGTGATTAATTACTAAAATTTAAAAAAAAAACTGGTCGGTTGTGGGTCAATTGTACCTATATGTATAGCTATAGTATTTAATAATTACAATTTTTTTTCTCTTTTTGTTATTAGTTTATTCTCCGTACCTTATTTTTCGCAGATTTTCTACTTAAACCCTAAAGTTGACTGGTAGAGAATGCCATACGGCATTAAGTTCGCCTTAATCGCCTTAATCGAATTGTGTATATTAAAGACTAAATAAATAAACTGAGCAACATGTTTGATGTCTTGAATAAAGTGTATTTTATTGCTGAATCCTGAAAGCCTATTTTAAACTGTCAAACACCAAGCGGTCACCGGTGGCCGCAACCTATTGTTCTATAATTGTGTCTACAAAACCGGTACTCGACGAGTTAAACTGAATACCTATGTTTATCAGTCGTACAAAGCGAATGAAAAATCCTTAAAAATTAGCTTTTTCCATAAAGTTTCACTAGAAACACAAGGCCCTGGATTCTATTTCAGGTTCAAATAAAGATGTGTTCAAATAAAGGTGTGATTGGTTGTTGTGATTTCGAACTTTCCAATTCAGCTACTCAGGACAAGCCTAAGATGTGTGGCAATAAATTCAACAACTTATTAACATCATCCATCGAAAAGTTACCCCTTCTGACAGTCGCGGAGAACCTAACGGGTCACCGGGGCTCCGGCTCGACGTGCAGGAGAAGGAACGGGGTAGTTTTTAGTCAGTAAGAGTCTGACACTCCCTCCCGCCTCACCCAGGCGGGAGCAGTCACTCGATGATTTTCCCCCCTTAAAAAAACCCCCTTTTGATAACTATCATTTAACTACTTAGCCATCCACAAAACTCACAAATATATCTTCTCCTTATTCAAGATGGCGCACTATCCTCAACCAGCAAACTTGGAGGCGGCGCTGCCGCTCCTCAACAGACCGGACCTTCGTCTCCGCCAGCAGCTCGGAGACCAGCTCACCGCCCTGGTGCGCAAGGAACCGGAGATCACACATGAGCTAGCCGCACAAATCCTGGACTCCATGGTAGCGTGGCTCAATGGTGGTAATTTTAAGGTGAGATTTTCCTGAAAATTGACAGTTTGTAGTTCTTGTTGAGTGGCGCTGGCGAGAACTAGTGGACTATGTTAACACTCAAGTAAACTTATTGTAAAATGTTTACAACTTAAGTATTGAAACAAAATCAGCTAGTAGTAATTAAATAATTAACTAATATTCCTTACTAAGAAGACAAATGTTTAAGTCTATCTAAATACTGACAACGGTACAGTTCATTCTTATTTATATAAGAAATAAAAATCTATAACAGAAACGCATACATCTGTGCATCATTAGTTCATCTTAAACGGCGGCTCGCGAAGCGTCCTCAATGTATCATACACACTCTGATTACGATCATATTACCGCTTGCCCACCGCGCTTCATTGCGCACACCGTCTTATTCCGGAGATAAAACTACCATTTATACATGGTACACGTTGTGTATTGTCTATTCGTGGTGAGCTCATAAACTGCTGAACGGATTTGTGTGTGATTTTCGCCAGTTGATAGAGGGGTTACTTATTCTAGAATAGGGATGATGACAGGGTATGAAAATTAAAAATGTATTTAGTCCGTCAGTTGGGTAATGAAAAAATATTAGACACGTATCTTTTTAATTTTGTCGTATAAGAAAACAATACTTAAATAAAACAACTCAAAGTTTAAAAGTGGGAGGTAAAACGTCATTTCTACGTATAAAACAGCCCTAGAAGTGAAATCACGCGATGTTTCAAATCAATATATCGTCGAAAGTATTTCTCTCTGTAAGGAAATAAAAAATACGTATATTTTAAAATACCAGACGGACATTAATATAAAAATTAGTCATCTACCCTATAATAAAACTACTATCTATCTATACCTACATATTGTAAAGTTCCATGTGTTCGATTGTCCCGGCTGTTTGAATCTCGTAAACTGTACTGCTAAAGAGTGGAATTCTTTGCCGGAGTCTGTGTTTCCTGAAGGGTATAACCTGGGTGTCTTCCGGGCTCGAGTGAATAGGTTACATATGGGACGACGTGCTCCATCGTAGGCCGCAATATCACTTACCACCAAGCGAGATAGTGGGCAAACGTCGGCCCATCAAATATATATAAAATACATACATCCCGTATGTCATTTTCACCAGTGTATGGAGTATTTTAAGGAAGGCTTGGTATCATGAGGGAAATGTTAATAGTAATTAAAATTCGACGACCTTTTTGAGAGATTTCAGATTTCATGCAAATCGGTTTAGCCGTTTAGGAGTGAAAGCTATACAAATAGAATGGGGATGATGACAGGGTATGAAAATTAAAAATATAATTAGTCCGTAAGTTGGGTAATTAAAAAACATTAGACACGTATTTTTTTATTTTGTCGTATAATAAAACGGCTTATTGGATGATTCGCACGAATTTAACTCGCACGAAACGTGCGAATCGACTCCTTTAAAACTTATTATTTTTTCTGTAGTCGATTCGCACGAATTTAATTTATTGGCGTGCGAATCGAAACCTTTACAAATATGTGGTAGGCTATTAGCACACATTTCATTTTAAGGTTTACAAAAATTAAAGTACAGTCGTATTCAGCCATCACTCAAATAAAAATAAAAATAATCGAAGTTTAAACAGCAAAAATTTACAATATACGTAATTAATTAAAACGTGGCATATCTACATTTTTACTAATACAAAAGAATATAAACATGACCGCAAAATTCGCCTATTACAGGAAAAAATTAAAGAGAAAGCTATACCTATATATGCAATCACGCTCATTTTTATGCCATAAAAAAATATACTCAAACCACGACCATAGGAGATGTTTAGTACTTAGTTTTAATCTTAATACAGATTTTGTTGATTATAGATTGTGTTTTTATTTTCTATTACGAGTAAAACATATTTGACCTTACTTCTGTGCTCAAGTGTACTTTATCTTAACTGCATTTCATAAAAAACAATATGTGTGCGAATAGCCTACTACATATTTGTAAGGGTGTCGATTCGCACGCCAATAAATGTAATTCGTGCGAATCGACTACAGAAAAAATAATATGTTTTAAAGGAGTCGATTCGCACGTTTCGTGCGAGTTAAATTTGTGCGAATCGTCCAATAAGCCAATAAAACAATACTTAGATAAAACGAATCAATGTTTAGGAGTGGCGGCTAAAACGTCATTTCTTAGTATAAAATGTACTGAGAAGTGACGTCACGCGACATTTCAAATCAATATATCTTCGAAACTATTTGTTTCCGTAAGAAAATAAAAAATACGTGTCTAATGTTTTTAAATAATCTACCAGACGGACATTAAAATAAAAATTAGTCGTCTACCCCATTGTGCGTGATAGAATAGAAAATGTTATCTAAGATATTTATCTATTGATTATAAATCTAATCTCAGATGATATCCGTTTTTAATGAATATAATATTGGATTAGATAATCAAATTATTTTCACCATCGGCATCTTTGATATTGATAAACTGTAATCTCTTGAAATATGCGATATTTATAAACTCCCTATGATATGAAATTATTCATTAAACAATAGGCTTATTCCTATAAGCAGATTTTAGACTTTAAATTAAATTTATATTGTTATACACACACATAACATCACGCCTTTCATCCCCGAAGGGGTACGCAGAGGTGCACATTACGGCACTTAATGCCACTGCACAATGTACCACTCACTTTTCACTATTTATGTTATGAGTCCCATGTAATAGAGGGTGAGCCTATTGCCATATACCGGGCACCGTGCTACTACTGGGATTTTTTTTTAAAAACCAAGTAATACTTTGCCCGGCCCGGATATCGAAACCAAGACCCTTTGCGAGTCGTGCTTGTGACCACTCGGTCGTTATAACTCCATAATGTATTCGTTCATATACGACAGGATTGGAGTTCAGAGAACCCTATTGCCATTTGAGTGGCTGGTCGCAATTTAGAACTGAACCGAACCCCTATCAGCATTAAGAGATAGCATTCCGAAATGAATTAGAGACTGGAAAAATCTAAAATCTTAAGTGTGGGAGACCCATGCTTCGACACGAATGGGCCGGCTCGACCAGAGTGATACCACGGCCGAGCAGAAAACCGACGTGAAGCAACGCTTGCGTTGTGTTTCGTCGTGTGAGTGGGGTTACCGGAGGCCCAATTAATTACCCTCCCCTTCCCAAATCTCCCCAATTCTTGAATCCCCAACGATCCTCTAACTCCTAATACCGGTAACGCCTCTGGTGTTCCAGGTGTCCATGGGCGACGCCGATTGCTTATCATCAGGTGATCCGTCTGCTCGTTTACCGGCTAATGCCATAAAAAAAACTTTATATCCAGATCCTCATACAACAAAATATGATAATAGATCTCTGATCTCTACCAGACAACAATGCGATCCAGAATAGTGACATGCTTCTAATATACTTGCACGCAGTCTGTAGCGAGCCGCACTACGGTGCACTACTAGTGTCGATAATTGTATAGTGGTTAAAGTGGACTGAGCAGGAGTGTTGTAGCACCAGGTAGAAGTGTAAGGATAATATAATACGGTATTTGACAAATAGTAAAATTCAATACTTTTTTCGAACTGTCAAAAACGACAGTTTTCTATGAATTTTGTACGAGATTGTGTATTGTGACGTCACGTTTTTTTAACGTCAAACAGCATACTTATTTCTTAAAAATTTGCTGGAATAATACTAAAATTAAGTTGGTAATAAAATCATTTAATGAAAGTAACATATAAAATAACGTCACGGCTTTTTATTCCCGAAGGGGTAGGCAGAGGTGCACATTACGGCACTTAATGCCACTGTTTAATGAAAGTGTGATTATTTTTTAATATGTTATTGTAATGAACAGTCGAAATAATTTATTTTTGTTTACGAAAGTACCCAATTCAATTCTTTAATTAATTGCAATGTATATGACTATTTTTGTCTTACTTTTCATTAAGCACAAGTGGTTCCTTGAGGTCAGTTTATTAAAATTGTTATTGATTACCATTCTTCGTGCAAATAAACATTCTTATTCTAATTGAATATAGACACACTGTTTGTATTATAACGTGGATTATGTATTTTACCAAGGGATTACAATTATATAGATAGAAAATGTTATGAGTCCCATGTAAGGGTGAGCCTATTGCCATATACCGGGTACAACGCCATACTCCGTGCTAATACTGAGATTTTTTTTAAAACCCAGTAATACTTAATAACCAGTTACAGAACCCGAGACCCCATGCCCGGCAGTCACACTTTTTTTTAAGGGGGGAAAATCATCGAATGACTGCTCCCGCCTTGGTGAGGCGGGAGGTAGTGTCAGACTCTTACTGACTAAAAACCACCCCGTTCCTTCTCCTGCACGTCGAGCCGGAGCCCCGGTTACCCGTTAGGTTCTCCGCGACTCCGAAAGGCAGTCACACTTGCGACTACTCGGCCAACGAGGCAGTCAGCAGGCAGTTTAGGTACATAACAATATAATAATTGTTTGTATTTCGTTCCAGGTGGCTCAGAATGCCCTAGAGGTGCTGACGGCGTTGGCGGAGCGCATGGGACCGGAGTTCTCACACTACGTGCCCACCGTGCTGCCGCATGTTATTGACAGGTAACTTACATACTTATATTATAATTATAAAGGTATTTTATCAGATAAGTGGCTGTAAACGAGCAGACGGATCACCTGATGGTAAGCAATCGGCGTCGCCAATGGACACACAAAACACCAGAGGCGATAGAGAGAGGATACAAGTACGTTAATAGACTTTGGACTATTGTACGCTTTATTGGAATCGGCCCACGTGGCAAGGGTTGAGGCGTCATGCACACATAAATGTCCTACAGTCGGTGGCGCTGTGTGTTGGGTTGTTCCGTTCCCAATAAAAAGGTTGACCGGACCAATTGCTGACACACACGTCATACTCGTGAACCGGTGCCTTCTGCTGGGTCAGGTCGGCTCTCCCATCTTGTTGGTGGGCTGGTTTCATAAAGCCTTTGAAATAGAAATAAATAAATAGTGCCTAATTATTATGTAACCTATACTTTTGGTAATAATTATAGATGTAGTTAATTGTAGTGTGTAACTAGGTTCCCTCTTTACTTTATAAAAATTTACTAGATGTATTATAATTAAAAACTGTATGACAAGGGCACGGACCTAGAGTCCGTGGAGAAATAATCTATAATATTTAAAAAAAAAGTACGTTACCGATCTTTAGGGTATTAGGAATTTGTAAATTGAATTTGAGGGGATGGGGGGATAATTGGGTCTCCGGTAACCTCACCCATACGACGAAATACAACACAAGCGTTGTTTTTGTTTCACGTCGGTTTTCTGCTCGACCGTGGTATCTCTCCAGTCGAACCGGCCTATTTATGCTGAAACTTTGCTCTTCCATACTTAAATCTCACACACAGGTGACAAGACAACATACAAGTAAAGTATTGTATACATAATATATGTAATGTATGTAACACAACGTCTATCTAAAACATTATTCATTTTTAGTTCATTTAAAATGTTTCAGATAGATATATTTGGGCTACGATGGGGCTGACGTAGTCTATTAGTGAAAAGCCCCTAAAATAAAATAGATAATAATAATATGATATGGGTCATTAATGTAATAAGAATGAGCCTATTGCCATACACCAGGTACAATCCGTAAACCCATACCTTATCCAGAATGTTCGAAACCTAAAAATACTCCATAACGTTTTACTCCACCCAGCAATCGGTCTCGAGAAGTCGAGACTCCTTGTTAGACAGTCTCACTTCAACAACTCATTCTCATATGAATGGAGTCACGGGGAAAACCTAATGAATTATGCTACACATTAATCATAATAAAACAATACATACATTCTTGATATAATTCTCCCGCCATACTTGATCACTTCCTAATGGACCATTGTGTTGTGACGTCATTTCCTCACATATTATTACTTTGTTGTTTACGCTCCAATGGAGGGTAGGCTGATGTCGTAAAGGTCGCGACGTTTATCGTATTAGATCATGTGTGATATTAGCACAGAAGTTTACAGTTAGCCAAGTTCTTCAGTACAGAGACAGTAGCGATTTGTTGACTGCGTAGCTATATTTAAAAATATTAAAAGCTTGCCTACTTGGCTGAGTCGTCGCAAATGCGACTACCGGGCAAGGGGTCTTGGGTTCGATTCTCAGGTCGGGCAAAATATTACTGGGTTTTAAAAAATATCTCAGTAGTAGCACGGAGTCTGTAAATGTGCCCGGTATATGGCAATAGGCTCACACTCTATTACATGGGACTCTTAACATAAATAGTGAAAAGTGGGTGTTACATTGTACAGTGGCATTAAGTGCCGCAATATGCACCTCTGTCTACTCCTGCGGGGATAAAAAACGTAATGTTGTGTTATGTTGTTCTCTGAATTCGGTGAATATTCTTTTAAACATTGTCTTACACTAGGATTTTCTCCTGTGTCGTGGGTGCATTTACAAACATACAAGTTCACATACACATGGCACACAGACCCAGAACAACAATCTGTGGATCACACAAAGAGTTGCTCCGTGCTGGAATCTAACCCGTTACACGTTCCGGTTGCCCAGCCACCGTGCTGTTGAAAATGATGTGAAATATGATGATTGTATCTCCAATCTCCAAATATTGTTGTGTATAGATTAGCAGATACGAAGGAGGCAGTGCGCCACACGGCCCGGACGTGCGTGTCGTCGCTGGGCACGTCCCGCGCGGCGCAGGCCCGCGGCCTGCTGGCTCGCCTGGCGCCCGCGCTCGCCCACAAAGCTCCGCACGCCAGGGAGGAGGCGCTGCGCTGTATACAGGCCTTGCTTGAGAAGTGAGTATTGGTTTTTATTATAATTGGGTACTTGTCACCTAGTCAAATTCAATACTTTTTTCAAACTGTCAAAACACTTCAGTGTCCGGACTTCAGTGTTCTTCAGTGTCTTCAGGGACTTCAGTACTTAACGATGGTGTAATTATCATCCTCCCAAGTTCGTGTTTAAGGGACCCGGTGATTAGCCAACCTTTTTGCTTAATAATTTATTTGTATATAGTCCACTAACTGTCAAAGAGAAAATTAGTTTATTTCTTTATTAAAAAATATAATATATTGTCACACTGTCTAAACGTATTTTTTTTTCAACATAATTTTATCTTACTTCTATTATTCATTATAAGTTCATAATACACCTCATCGTCCTAAATACCCGGTCGAAAGTAGTCGAGCTTCCTGCCTTTAGTATTCTCTATTTTTTTACTGATAATTTTTTGGAATTAAAGAGAGTTACCATAAAGAAAACTTTATATTTGTTGGGTTCAATTTTATTCCAACTGATGTTATGACCTTTACCCAGCGTTGATCAGATCTGTTAAACCTTACTATTGTCGCGGAGAACCTAACGGGTAACCGGGGCTCCGGCTCGACGTGCAGGAGAAGGAACGGGGTGGTTTTTAGTCAGTAAGAGTCTGACACTCCCTCCCGCCTCACCCAGGCGGGAGCC